CAGGGTGCAAACTCGCCTCTGGTCGGGAACCACTGATCAATAGAGATCAATCTATTAGGAGTAGTTCAACAGTGCAAGAAAACAATATGCAAAGACGGGAAAGTAATAAATATGGAAGTACTATGCTTCTATGCCAGCTCCCATTTGTTTGTCAGATGCTTGGCATGGTTTCCCCATGCCCACTTCCCCTGAGTATCTGTCCTCCGGCTTGCTTCACTCTATTAATGCATGCCCCACCCCAAGACACCAGAGTGATTTCTCTAAAACACATATTTGATCATGTTACACCCTCATGCTTAAAAATCACCAATTTCCCCCATTCTCTACCACAGAGTTTCTCAACCTGGGCACTCTTGACTTTGAGAGCCAGATGATTCTTTGTTGTAGCAGCTGTCTTGTACATTGTAGCGTGTTTAGCAGCATCCCCAGCTTCTCTCCAACTAGATGCCAGTAGCACCTGCTCTGTAGTAGGCAGAATAATGTTCTACCAAAGTTATCCACATCCTAATTTCTGGACCCTGTGAATGTAGTTAGTTACATGGCAAGGGGAAATTAAAGTTGCAGATGGAATTAAAGGTTGCTAACAACTGACCTTAAAATAATGAGATTATCCTGGATTATCCAGATGAACCCACTGTAATCACAAGAACACTTAAGTGAGTCTGAGGGAGAAGTGACTATGGAAGAGGGTCAAAGAGATGCAACATGGCTGGCTTTGCAGACGGAGGAAGGTGGCCACTACAAAATCAAAGAGAACAGATCCTAGAGCCTTCAGAAGGAACATAGTCTTGCCAACACTCTGACTTTAGCCCGGCAAGAGCTATTTTAGACTTCTGACCTCCCTAACTGTAAGGTAATAAATTTGTGTTCTCTAAGCTACTAAGTTAGGGGTAATTTGTTACAGCAGCAATAGGAAACTAATATATCACCACCCCCAGTTGTGACAACCAAAACTGTCTTCAGACATTGCTAAATGTCCCCTGGGGACAAAGCTGCCTCCAGGTTGAGAGTCACTGCTCTACAAAATGTAGCGGCCAAACTCCTGAGACGTGCACAGTTGGGCTCTTCATAATTAATGCTACCCAACCTGTTAAATATTACTATCCAACACACAGTGAGATACAGCCTATGCTCCAGGCACACCAAACTTCTAACTTCAAAAACACTCTACATCCTTTCACCTGCCTGCATATTTGATGCCAAGAGGTACATTGGAAGGTAGGCAATGTGCTATTGGAATGTGCTACTGGAATGGTAGGCCCTCCTGCCATTTTTTTTCCATGCGCACAGTTAGTTACTATCCCCTAAACATGTGTCTAATTTCTGGTTTCATTAGGTCATTACATAAAAAGCCATGTGGTTGCTACATATATTAAACCTCAGACAGCCTAACTTCCTTCTCCAAGTAAATGATTGCCCTTAGCCCTTCTAAGTCCTCTTCATTGGAAACTGGCGTCACCAACACCTCTGTGTCTTCGCATGTCCACTCCTTTCTCTTTCACGAAGGAATCATTTCCCTTCTTCTTCTTATAAATGACAGTCATCCTTGAAGATCAAGTTCAACTGGTCTCTGCACAGTGAACTTCGAAGACTCCTCAAAGCATGGTGGGTCATCACCTCCACCCTGGTCCCTCACCGTGCTGATCCTTCCGCACTGTACCTATTGGTTGACTCACCATTCTCTTTATTAGACTGTGAGCTCTTTAAGGGCTGACACCAGGTTTAAGCCTCTCTGCATGATTGGTACTGAGAGAAATGCTTGTGCTCAAGAAGTGCTTGTGGAATGAATGAAGAAAAGAATGGAAGTCATGGATAGAGAGAAATCATTTTAATTATGGGTGATCGAAGCTGGAAAACTCCAGGTCAGCTATGAGCCTAATCCCAGCTCTGATTCATGAGAATTAGGAAAACCCCAAGGTTGGAATGAGACCTTACTCCCTTGTCTGTGATCAGAATCAGTGACAGAGATTGGCTGCTAAGAACAAAGTTGAGAAGCATGTACCAATTGTGTCACCATGCACCATTTATCCCTTTGTCTTCTCCCTTTTTCTACTCCACAGATATTCTACCCAGCATATCCATGAATCAGATTTTATTAAAGTAATCCTAAGACACATAGTAAGGAAATATTTAATAGAGTCATAGCTGACTTCGTCTAACACCTCCTGGTTTTAGGCTAAAGAATGGCCATTTGTGAGCTTTGAGTGAGCACAAGGCATAGAGCTACAGGCATTTATGACAGTCCTGGGAGCAGGAGCCATTGTATGAATAATTTAGCTTAAAACCAGAGAATCTGCTAAAAGAACTAAGCAGAAATGGATGTGATCCATCACTGGCTAAACCTGAGTGGAAGTGAATTCTTAGGTTTGCCTTTGGATTCAATGGAAGAAAAACAGAAAAGTTGAACAAACCATAAGAGGTCCATGGAGTGTACAGGCATGGCTCAAGAGGGATCCCCATGGTTTTGGAATTGGAGGAACACCCCAGGGAAACTTTCTGCCAGCTGAAAGCACTTCTCTGGGCACTCACTAGATGGCAAGCATGCGGTGCCACATTCAACTCACTGGTGCAGTGGTTCTCAACTGGGGCAATTTTGACTCCTAGGGGACATTCGGGAGTGTCTGCAGAAATTTTTCATTGTCACTCTGGTGGGGAGGAGTGCTATTGGCATCTAGTAGGTAGAGGCTCAGGGATGCTGCTCAACATCCTACAATGGACAGAACAGCCCCACCACAAAGAATCATTTGGCCATAACTGTCAATAGTGTAGAGGGGCTGAGAAATCCTGAGCCAGTGCAACCGGAAAAAGCACAAGAACCAAATCTGTATGAACCAAATTTCCCCTCTAGGGCCTGTAAGTAACCTTGCAAGGTGCTCATTTGCTGGACTTTTGACATCATTAGTAAAGATTCTCTTTTAGAACAAAGGACCCAGCTTGCTTGCAAGTGAGAAGGACAAGCAGTACTAATGAATGAATTTCCTTGGTTTTTGAGAGGGTTCCAGGCTGTTAAACCTTTGACAGGTACTCCAGGCCATTAAATTCCAGACCCAGGGGTTAGGGTAGGATATCTGGACCTCTACTAAACAAAACCAGCCTTGGACCTTCATGCCAGGATTCCATCCAATTACTCCATGTCTGCTTCAAGAATAAAGGGATCGCACACACACACACACTCATATACACACATGTGAACATTTTATGAGAAAATTTTGTTCTTTCACTAGATGGCTATGTACTTAATTTTAACCATTACAAAGAGGTGAAAGTCACAATAGATGAGCTTGCAGACTGCTGAAATACTGCATAAAACAGCTAGAAGCCACCCAATATTACTGCAATTCAGATACTTGTCCATTGATTGAGATTTTAACAGATAAGAAAATTTCTAACCAGTCATGATTATCTATAGTAGAATGCTTTTGGTCATTACAGCAATGAATGGCATCTGTACACTATATTCCAAGTATGTACTTGGAAAAGCAGGGACATTCTCAATGATGCAATTGGGTTTAAACGTGAATTTCAGCGGCTATCTAATCCAAGAATTTGGCTTGCTTTTGCATTTCTCCCTCTTTCTCTCAACTCCTACAGATTAATCCGATAATGTGTGCTTCTGATATAGAGCGGGAATCCAGCCCCTTCTAGAGACCAAGAGAAATTTAACATTTAGATTTTTGATCCTCTTCCTTGCTTGGGAGAGAATCTCGTCCTCTCTGACTTGACTTTTCTTTCTACTGCCTATCATCTTCAAGAAAATGAGCAAAACAGCCAGCAATGTTTGTTAGTTTTTCTAATCTATACTCCTCACTCAACAGCAGCAGTTACTTTGGCACAGTGACTACTATTTTATCAATATGTGATACTAATATTTGTGATAAATACTGCTGATTTTTCTAAGGCGGTATATTACAAGCTGAAATCTCATAGTTATCTCATGTTTACAGAGCGAGGTATGATCTTGGATGCTATTTTCAAACTGTTTTTCTTGGTTGTGTTTCCTTTATTTAGTCTAAATCTCCAGCAATTACATGGTATTTCATTTCATTTCTGTAATTCTAACTGTACTTTAAAATATTTAATTACAACTGATGGAATCTCCCTTCCCTTATGGAAACAGATCCAAGGCAAATCAATCTATAGAGTTTGTGGACTGAAAGAGATAGGAGTTGTTCATTTTGAAAACAACTACTATTTATTCTCTAAAAGCATGCTGCTTTCCAAGTACCCACCAACTACAGTTTCCCAATAGCTCTGCTCTCCATTCTTCTCAGCCAGAAAGCAAACATTTTAAAGGTACCAAATAGCTCCCTCTGTGTTTCCTATTTATTAATGATTCCTAGTTCATGGATATTTCACTAACTACTAGTTGTCCTTAGTGGGATTTGGGCATATTTCCATGAGCTTTCATAGCCTTAAGCAGAGGGGTTTTTTTCCTCCTAGATTAAACTAGTACTCAGTACCAGAGATTTCTGAAATTATACGTTTAGGAGAGGAAAATATGAAAACTGGAGAATTCTAGTAGTAACTCCCCCCTGCCACCCAAAAACACAGACCTACACACACACACAATCAACACCACCAATCCAGAATAATGTTCCTGAATTCTCTGTAGAACAACCAGATGGCAGACATATTTCAAAATATATTTCACCCAATCCTTACAAACAGCATAGAAATAGACCATTTGAGTTCCAAAAAATATCAACACTGGGTGAAGGGATCAGAGGACCCTTTGAAATCGCCTGCAGCACAAACAGGACAGGAGAACACCATCTCTTCCTCCAGCTCCCACCACTGCTCCAAAGTGGAGCCAAGAAGTGCTAACAAGACACACGCGGGTGGCCGCTAGGGACGTCCCATTTCCAGGCACCATTTAACCAGCCAAAGAGGAACAGCCACACCATAGAAACCTCTCAACGGGTCCCTGGCTCTGTAAATGTGATGGAATTAAAGAACTGCCCAGGTGTCCAGCCTTGGGGACGCGCGGCACCGGACCCTACCTCGGACTTCCACACGATGTAGGGTTGGCCGTGGCTGTTAGGTGGGGACTGGAACTTTCTCTGCTGGAGCCACCTCCTGGGAGAAGCGAAGATGCCGTTGGGGCCTCCCCCAGAGGAGCACAGGATGGCGCTGCGGCCACTGCCCGGCCCTGACAAGACCGAAGGCAGGTCCCAGGCCATGCTCTTCTTGAGGCCGCTGCGACCCAGGGAGACCTCATAGTCAAAGTGGAAGCTGCCAGACGGCGACTTCTCCTGCGGGGTGCTGGGCGTGGAGAAGGATGAGCAGAGGGGTCTAGGGGGCGGGAGTCTGTTGGCCCGGGGGGGTGGGCCCCGGGGAGAGGACGCTGATCGGGGGCCGAGACCCTCGGCTGGGGCCAGCGGGGAGCAGAGGCGGCCCCCAGTGGCCCCCCGCGAGCCGCCCTCCGCGCCCGCCTCGCCCCCGCAGCCGCCGATCAGGGCTGGGTCTAGGCTGCGGGTCTGGCGCAGCTTCCTCTTGGAAAAGCCCTTGGCCGAGGCCGCGCCGCCCGAGGCCGGTGAAGAGCAGGAGAAGACACTGTGGAGCAGGCTCTGCGCGGACATCTCGTCGGGGCTGTGCCCGAGGGCCACCTTCTTCCCGCTTTCGGAACGCTGGCGATTTGGGGCCCAGAAAGAAGGGGGGCTCAGGCGAGGCTGCCAGGCGGGGCCAGCCAGAGGCTCGCTGAGGGCGGTGGAGGGCAGCGCCCGGCTCACGCGCCACTAGCGCGCTCCAAGTACCCTCGCGGGGGCAGAAGCAGGAAATCCATCACCAGCCTTCTAGGAAAAGGGGTCGGGGGGCCTCTTGCGCTCGCTAGAACCTTCCCTCGGAGCTCAAGTCGCGAAGTGGGTAAGCAAGAGAAGGAAGGTCAGGCGCTCGCTCAGTTCCCAGCTCCAACCCGCCAGCGCCACTCCCCCTTCCCAGCCAAGGCAGGAGATGCCGCGCTCCCGCTCGCTGGCTTTGGACAGCCTCGAAGTCTCCAGCAAGCTCCTCCTCGCGCCCTGAGGACGGTCCCGAGGGCTGGGGAGGAGGCCTCCTGGGCGTGCGCCCAGGGCGCGTCCGTCGCGCTCCCCGCGCTGCGAGAGCGACTTCCTCCGGCGCTGGAGCTGCGCGCCCGAGCTGCGCCCCGGGTGCCCCGTCGCCGTATCCAGGCCCCTGAAACAGCGCCTCTGGCCTCCACTTGGCTGCTGCGCCCACTCCTCTGACTGGCTAGGCGCAAGGGTGTCTCCAAGTTCCAGGTTCCCGTGGGATGCCAGTCTTGCTACAAAGTAGGGACACGGAGAGCTCTGCGCCCAGGGCCTTCCAAGGGCTGAGTGGCTACGGTGGGAGAGAATTCCTGGCTACGCTCAGGGAGCTAAGGAGAGAACCCCAGGGGTGGGTGCCCATGCCCCGCCGGAGAGGGGCTCCTGATATTCGCAGCCCTGCCTTGGGCCCAGGGCAGGCGCGGAGATGTCCCCGCACGCTCTCACTAGAGGCAGCGGGAAGGGGGCGGCCAGGACGGGTAGGGTGGGAGGGAAGCAAGGTCTAGAGGTGGAGCGGAGCCCTTAGCAGGAGAAGGCAGAACGTGGAGGAGTTTTCCAGGCGCCAAACCTGGGAGCCGCGCAGAAAGAGCCTAGCTCGCCACTGATACCGGGTCTCCTGGGGAGAAAGCCGTGAGGACGGAAGTGCGGACCTTCTCCTCCGTCTCCCCTCCCCCAGATCAAGGGGGGCGCCCAGCTCCACTCACGTTTCTGGAAAGGAAAGGAGGTGTCAGATTGCACCCCACCCACTGGTGTCAGATGGGCAGCCCAGGACGGTTGCTCTGAAGTTGGAGTTAAATCTCCTGCCTTCCTCCCCCCCTCCCCCCCTGCTGTTTTTGTTTTTAAAAAGGAAGGATAGAGACTCAGCTCAAATGCAGAGGCTGCTGATGAATGGGCTGGAGATCCGGACCTACTAAGAAAAGTGGGGGGAAGGGTCCTCGCCATGTAAGGGTCGTGTGTAAATGTACTCGAGAAGGAGGGGTGAGTGAGGCCAGGCAGGGGGCAGGCGCCGGGCGCAGCGACAGCCAGAGGCTGCGGAGATTGGCGCTCACAAAGCGATCGGTCTCCGGGTTCGGCTCTGGGACGCCTCTGGGCGCATCGCGCTGCGGCCACATTCTTGGGAAACTGGAAAATGCTGGCGATGTCAATGTTCCCTGCTTGGAAACGAGTCTGGGAGCAGCTTCTCCGGCTACTGTCCTACCCCTGGAACCTATAAAGCGCAAAGCCTCGCCGCCGCGGAGGGCGTTTTGACGTAATGTTTAAGTTTTGCAAGGCATCTTACAACCGTCTCAGCAGGGGAGCAAAGAGAATGTTGGAAATGCCTGTGTACTTTATTTAATTGTGTTCGTGTGTCCTCTTTTACCACTTCAGGGTGAAGAGAATTTTATATGAATGTAAAGGTGACTTTCCTTTACTGTTTCTTTTATTAAAGAAAAAAAAACTTACAATGAACTTATAAATACAAATGTTTGACACAAACATTTGCCTTGTGTATATAGCAGAATTATCCAACTTTGATTTTGGAAGACTTCTTTTATTCCCTATAAAGTTTTCAGGAGAAAATTAATTTTTTTGTCTTTTTAAAAACTGTTCTGTGTTCCTAGATATTTGACTATCTAGGAGGAGGCACGTCATGGATTCTAATTAACAGAAGTATTCGATGTCTCCACAAGGGACTTCATTCGGACCCTAGGATCACTGATGTACAGTTTTTGTAAATGCAGTGGGACCGACTGCACCCAGGGAGCTCCTTCCGGTAACTTGATGACCTTTCTGCAGCCCGAAGACAGAATGAGATACAAATTTCCCAGCACTCTCACCGCTGTCATTCTCTTCCCACACTGAAACTTAAGATCTTATTTTCAGTGGCTGACGATTAGGTGTGCTGTGGAGAGGCACAGCATTTAAAATCGCTTCCTGCCGTGCTTCACTGCACGTGCCAAATAGCATTTGGGGGACTGTTGACATTTGCTTTCTTCCCTCCTCAAGCAAGTCATGTTAGAAGCAAAAGAGGGTGGGTCTTGCCTGCCTTTTCCTTGGTTAACAATACCTTGTAACTTGTCACTAGCAATGAAAACATTTAATGCCTACCATTTGGATACCATTGCATGGAACTGGTTATGCCTCATTGGATTTTGGCATTTGGAGTAGATGGTTAACCAAGTCACACTTCATTGGACCACTTATAACTCAAGGTGGTTGAGCAAATGTAATTCATGATTCATATCCGTTTTATCTCTGTAAGCCTATATGATGACCATGGGGTTGAAAATGCAACCCTGCCACTATTATGTAGGGCTAATAAGAATGCTTTCTAGGCAGGAAGTCATACATTCTTGGTCATGGATGTTGTAAAGCCAACGAGCAGAGGGACTCTTCTATTGGCACCTGGGGCTTGGAGCAGACACATCCAGCTAATTCATCATCTTATTTTCCAATGGGTCCTGATGCTCCATTAGCTGGAGCTTGCCTCACTTTTTGGGACAATGAATAAATTTTTTAATAATTCCTAAAATTAAGCACAAGCTCCCTTTCTAAAACCCAGTGTAAGTATGTATGCTTTTAAAACACAGAGGAAAAAATGTAATAGCTTGCCTGGAAAAAAAGACTTTTAAGAAAATTATTTGGATGTTTTAATGATATCTTTAAAACTCTTTTGATTTCCAGCCTGACTCCTATTAGGTTTATTTTACAGTCATTGGTGACTTATGGTGTATTCATTCATTCCTACTTAGGGCATCCTGTTTTACTCTTGCTTGTTATATAATCCCTTTGCTTATATAGACCAACTCACACTGGCCTTTCTGATTGCCATTTTATGCCAAATTTGGTTAAGGAAGATCTGGGTTTTGTTTACCAATTTCAAAAGCGGCTGGTTTTGTTACATTGATCTCCAGAATCTCTCTTACAATTCATCAGTCTGTTTCAGAAGCAATATAACTGGTAGTCTAGAAATAAATGATTTTGAATATATATACTTCAAAAATCAAGTCTCTAAGACTTTGCTCCTTTATTAGGGCATTTGCTATTGAAAAGTAGTGTTCATATTTAGGGTTTTTCCCCCTCAGAGCCAAAGTTAATCAAAGCCTTAGATACATTTTAATAAAGGACAGAACAGTCTGTTCACTATTCATTCCCCATTATAATTATCATAGAAATTTAGGATAAAAAATATATTTAGTCCATCTGGTCATGGCACAAGTATATTCTAATGAAAGTTCTAGAGTTCTTGGTCTGACATCAAGGTAGACTCTTATCAAAGATCCTAGAAAACTCATCAGTTTTCTTTCCATTCCCTTGAAATACCGTTCTCTAAACACATACGTCTAACTACCAAAGGATATATTCTGTTAAACCTAAATTTCCCTTTTCTTAACTTTATCCCTTGAAATTTTTCTTATCTCCAGCCAAAATTCCTCTTTCCCCTTGGTGTTTAGACCCTTGAGCTATTTGTAGATTTAATCATGCCCCTTGGGTCTGACTTTGTGGTTTGGCTACACTATAAAGTTCATATTTTGCTTTAAAACCATCATTGTAGATGATCTCCTCTGGATTCCCTCCAGTTGCTTACTTCTTTTCAGTCCTGAGGTCCAATATTCCAGGTTAGGGCATCCTATGTGCCCCTGCTTGTTATATAATCCCATTGCTTACATAGTCCCAAATCACATTGAACTTCCTGATTGGCTGCCATATAATATTTTAGACTTCTATCTGATTGGCTCCTAACTCTTAGCATCACTGATATTTGTTTCATCCTGCCAATGTCTCTCCAACTGATTATGATCCCTCTGATATCACTTCTACATTTTTAATGGTATCTGGGTTGAACAGTTCACAGCATCTCACTCTCCCATAGAAGAAGTCAAGGGTTCTGTCTCCAAGCTCCTGAAACATGAAAAGGGGGACATGATTTTAATCTTCGTGATGTGGAATATCTGCGAAATGTGTGGAGAACTTTTACAGGACATAAGAATGCTAATTACGTTAAATAGCCAGACTGTCCCATTCCAACTACTTCTCAGTTGTAAGCTAGGAATTTTTTGCAGCTGAACTAAGAATGTTTCTTTAGATTCCCATTCTAGGATCTCCCTGAATGGATACAATTGCTGAGGCATTTAAACTACAATTGATGGATGTCAGTGGAGGTAAATCTAGAGCCGCAGGCTAATTCCGTATGGGTAAGATTAGCAAAAACTCACCTTCTTAACCTCTAACCCAGCATTGAGGAACAGTGATCATTTTCCAAAGATGGAAATGTTGTCATAGCTATTCTCTAGAAGGTGAATATAACGATTTGCAAGATATAAGGGTATTTGCGAGCTTGAATCCTAACTGGTACTATGATGTGAGAAGACTAAGATATAAGTTCCACTGTCCACCTTAGAGAAAATTTAATATTATAATACCAAAAGAGATATTCAGAAAAAAATCTTTATGCCAACACTAAATGGAAAAAGTGCTGAATATGTCTATACCATTTGCTAACTTGAATTTAGTATTGTACTCAAGACCATCTACTCAAACAGCCAGTCCTGATCTCTTAATCATAACAATGTAATAACTAACAATTGTTGAAACTTCCTATACGGCAGGCACTGGGCTGAAATCATGCATGCACTATCCAGATCAACAGTCACACACACACAAAGCTAGAATATTTCACCCCTAATTTTATAGATGAAGACAACCCAGACCTAGAATAGTCCCACAGATCACTCCCTGGTTTAGTGGTAGAGTGAGTATTCAGATCCATATGATCTAACCTCAACCTCTAACTCTTGCAGGACTAGAATTGCAGGTTAAGAAGCTGTTCATTCCACAACTAGAAGAACCTGCAACTAAGATGTACAACTATGTACCGGGGAGGGTTTGGGGAGATAAAGCAGAAAAAAAGAAAAAAAAGAAGATGTTCAATTTGGGGGAGCTTTGGGGCCATTTCTGGATGGATTTCAACTTGTTGATTTCTTATCTAGCATGTGACCTTGGGCACATCATTTCACAACTCTCATTCTCAGTTGCCCATCTGCAAAATCATGTCCACGTCAGAAGGCTGTTGAGATGAGTCAAGGACCTAATGTATGTAGCACGCTTAGCACAGAGAATTCTGGAGAGAACAAGCACAGTGATGGGAGTTAATACTATAATTTATACAAAATCCATAATTTTTAAATTACCTTATGAGTCCAGATATATTGAATGACCATCCCTAATGAGAGTTCACCTGGTCTTACATCCAAAAGACCCTTTTAAATCTTTCTAATTTGCTAATGAATCATTTGTTTAAAATTATTTGAAAAAGACCCTTGGTCGACTCAGTGAATAGTCATAGTGGGGATTTTCACTAAAACTCTGCCAGTTTTAGTGAGGTGTTTGTCAATATCAACTAAATAGTACCAACACAGTCTTTCAAGACAGGGGGCCTTTTTGAGTTAAATGAAAGATAATTTGGGATTCTCTGCATTCAGAGCAGAGTGTAGGGAATTTTTTGCCTTCTATCACACTTATATACCGACAGGCTAGTTTTTTGGCTCAATATTTTGGATCAATTTCACATTGCCCAGAATGGGAACCATGAACCCTCTCTTTAAAACAGGCACACAGTCAAGGTTTTCACATCCATCTAGTTAGTATCAGGATCTATGACAATTTCTTCTGACATTATATTCAGAAATCTAAATGACTATTCTCATTTGTCTTTCTCATTTTTTCCCCACTCTGTGTATCTCATTTCACCATTCCTTACCAGTCATGACCTTAAAAAGAATCAAAATCAATGAAGAGAAAAAAATTCGTTTCTGTATCAGCATCCACATTGAACACAAAAAAGCCACGTGTAACACTGTCCATTCTCTCATTTCCTGTGTAAATATTAGCAACTTGTTCTTTGTTTTCTAGTGTTTCATCTTTATCTTCTCTTAGACTTTAAAAAGTGGTTTTGCATAGGCACATTGTTCGACCCTTTCACTTACATGTTTATTTCTCGAGTGTTTCTAAACATCAAGACTTCTGTTTTCAGAGTACTAATTAGTGAGGCAGGTGAAAAGCAAAGTTGTATAAAAATCTGGAGCCAAGTTGCAGTATGGATGTACTTAGCAGAGTCCCAGGGGTTACGCATGAAACAAACAATTGTTGTTTACCTGCAGCCAGCAGTTGAAAGAATCTTCCGATATCAAATCCTAAATGCATGACTGACCATCGGCACTTTTGTTTCTGGCTATGAAACTTGATCTTAAGAGACTTTCAATAATAATACAAGTTGGCTGACAACCAAATTCAATTTCAGTTTATAAACATTTTGAACATGCACTTTGCGCCAATGGCATTCCTTCTTTGTTAGTTTTACTTTCTTCCGTCTTTGTGGGTAAAGGTGTGCTTGGCCTCTCAAAGTAAATTAACTTTATGTGAACCTGGGATAAGGTTCAGCTGTACTTAGTTACTTAAAGTAGTTTTTAACATCTTCCCATAATATATGTTTTAAAACTACTTTTGAGGATGAGGAATTACATAATAATGTAAACAATTATGAATATTTTCTTAATTACTCTAAAATTTTCATAATCTAAGCATTTTTCAATATTTCTAATTTTTAAAAGTAACTAATGTGGAATTTTTTCCTCTGAAATTTTCATTTTTTTTCCCCAGAAACTTCATTTCTCTATATTGAATGGAAACAGGAGAACCTATTTGACCAACATGTTTTCTAGTGACAAGATAGGGTGGGGTATGGAAGGGAGAGGGGAAAAGAAAAACAACTGGTACTGTCCCTGGGGTATATATTCTTTTTTCTCATCCGCTTTACTGAGGAACAACCTACATACGATAAACTGTACCAATGAGTTTTGACAGCTGTACACCTATGAAACCACCAGCACAATCAAAGTTCAGCACATTCCCATCACCCCCTGAGCCTACTTTTATTCACGTTCCATGAACACTGACAACTACACTTTGCACCTTGTAAGGGTTGAATTGTGCCTTCAGTCAATATAGGGAGGGAGGGAGGACTAAAGAGAGAGCAGAGCTTTTTACTTCTTATAGTGGGTTAAATTGGGTCCCCCCAAAAGATATGTCCAAGTCCTAACCTCTGCTACCAGTGAATGTGACCTTATTTGGAAATAGGGTCCTTGCAGATGTAATCAAGTTATAGTTAGGTCAGACTGGATTAGGGTGGGTCCTAAATTCAGTGACTGGTGTCTTTATAAAAGAAGGGAGAGGGCAATTTGGATACAGACACACACACATACACAAGAAGGCCGTGTGAAGACGCAGGCAGAGATTGGGATGTCTACAAACCAGGGAACATCAAGGATTGCTGGCAAACACCAGAAGCTAGGACAGAGGCGTGAAACGGATTCTCCCTTAAAGCCTCCGGAAGGAACCAATCCTCCTGACTGATTCGGGACTTCCGGCCTCCTTAACTGTGAGAATAAATTTCTGTTGTTTCAAGCCCCCCAGTTTGTGGTAATTTGTTATACTTCTTAAGCGTAGCTTGGATCTCCTTTCTAACAATTTAATAAAACCCAGAGCCAAGGATTTCATTGAGCAAAAAGCAATCTCAAAGAATTTTAAAACAAGGTGAGAGAATGACTAATGAATGCTTGTCAGAGTTTCATTTTAAAAGAAAGGAGAACAATCAATGGGACACCCTGCCTAGGTGCTAAGCATGGTGACATCATTGTCATGGCAGCAGCCAAGCTGCAACTGGGTCCTACTTTGAGTTCACTTTTCCCCTTGGGAAACTTCTGCCCTTTCATACATTTGGTTCTCAAAAGGTGTTTGGGGCTTGGTTTTGAAAGTGATTAGCAACACACAGAAGTGTATCATTGGCTCAAGCCAGAAAGAGACACTCAAATTCAGAGGGCTGTGATACTTTCGCATACCTTTCCTGATGTTTAATTCACTGCATTGAAGCGGCTGAGTGTACACCTGATATGCAAAT